GTTATGAGCAAACCACTCAAACTGCGACCACCAACAACAACGCTTCCTCCTCGGCCCGACTGCATCGGCCACGACAACTCTTTGTCCCTCTCAAAGAGCCGCGCTGGGAACGTTTGCTTTTCGCGCGTGAGCTCGTTAAGTTTCCTCTCATTGGTTTTGACACTTTTTTTCTGTTTCCATTTTCACAGATCACCTTCCAGTTCAGCCTGTGGGATAAATTCCGGGAGCTTTCCAACCTTCCCGCCAGGACTTTTAACAATTTGATCCAGCTCGTGACCCTCTTCCTCCAGAAAAAGTGCTTCTCGCTCTCGCTGCTCAAAGTAAGCAAGCACATTCCGGACTCGAGGGGAATTCTTGTTTTGCTTTGCGAGCTAATGAATAATGCTTTAAAAAAAAAAAATCTAAAGAAGAAAAAAAAAATCATATGTTTCTTTAACCGTTAGTTGGTTGATGATGCAAATAAGAAGCTTCGTAGAGGGGAGGCACTCAGGTCCAACAAAAAAAAAATATTTTGGGACAGATCTGGCTATGCTACTTTCCCTCCACTTTCAATATTCTGTGTGGCTATTGGTCGGTCTGGCCTTGGTGGAGGTCTTCGCTCTGCCGGGTGCCATTTTCGTTCCGTTTTCTTTCTGGACATTCACACGGGTGGTTCTTTTGGTATTCTAGGTAATCGAGTTCGGAGAGCTCGACAAGGCCAAGGTGCGCTTCCTGCGCCAAGTCCTGACTCGACTGCTCACAGACACCGAGCCCGAGGATGTCATCGGCATTTTTTCAAGGTGAGCAACACAACCCACCCACTCCCGTATTAGGGGGAAAAAAAACGGGTAATACAACTGGCGTGAGCTCTGGAGTTATTTGCTGCTTCGCTAACCAAAACAGCAGCACCTATCAAAGTAAAAAGACGTGTGTTATAAAGAAATTCCCTGCGTGGTGTTAAAGACGCTCTTAGCTTCTGCTTCGTATTAGTCAAAAAAATGTGTTTGTCTACATGCATTATTGAATACAAATGTTGGAGACATTTTTGAGAAATATTCCAAATTGGACCCAATTTGGAAGTAGAAATATATACAATGCGTCATCTTTATTTGTAAAGCGCTTTCACAACAACCGAAGCTGTAACAAAGCAAAAAGTTTAACAGAATAACAATCATGTCGAAGTTAGCGTCCTCCCGCATTTCACTAAAGCTGCAGCGTCAAGATAGTTTTGCTTTTACGTGGGTGCTCCCTTTTTTTTTTTGCATGCTGTCGACCACCCACCGTCCTTCCGCCCCCTTCATTTGTATATACAATGCGTCATCTTTATTTGTAAAGCGCTTTCACAACAACCGCAGCTGTAACAAACCAAAAGGTTCAACCTAGAATAGCAATCATGTAGAAGTTAGCGTTCTCCCGCATTTCACTCAAGCTGCAGTGTCAAGATAGTTTTGCTTTTACCTGGACGCTCGTTTTTTTTTATTTATTTTTATTTTTATTTATTTTTTGCATGCTGTCGACCACCCACCGTCCTTCCGCCCCCTTCATTTGTTGCCCGCCTGCCAGGATTTCTGGAATTCCCCAGCTGCGAATGCTGCGCGAGGGCCTGAAGCTTTTCATCAGCCACTTCCTGCTTAAGAGCGCCGCGCCGCAGGACGACTCG